CCAGATAAGATACAGCTTCGCGTAATGTTAGGATGGCGATGAAGCCCCTGAACAAAAGGGGCTTTATCTGGCGTTCGTAGAGCTGTTGTAAATACTTTACAAGCATGAGATAATGCAAAGGTAGAAGAACTCTCGTGAGCCGCTGCGACGCGAATGCCGCGTCACTGTCGCTTTGAGTAAACTGACTCGGCGAACTGTCGGTGCTCGCCACCGCTCCCCTTATTTGAGCACACCTAAACGTTCAAGCGTCTCGTCATCTCTTGGAAATGAGTCGCCTTTCTATGAACAGAGGCCACCTTGCTCGCTTGGTGAGCGCTTGGCGCGGCCATAATCGGATCGCGACGCCTTGCTTAGGCGTTGTAATCAGACTATGACCGCGCCCAAGCGCACCCCAACCGAACAACATGGCGGCGCCTGGAGGCCGTACTTGCAAAGGGCGCCGCCATCTTGAAATGTCGTCAGACATTGTTTCGCCGCCACCACGCCAACAGAATCATTTTGTCTCCTCTTTACTGTTTTTACTATTTGCAGGTTGAAATGTTTTATTTTTTCGCCGCCCGTACCTCTCGTCCCCATCCAGGTGGATGGGGACGAGAGCAAGCGAAAAAGGCAAGTCAAACGAAACTATGGGTTGAATACGCGTGCAAGTTCGTCTGCTCCTTGCGCATCTTGTGCGTTTGTTTACCCCCTACCTCAAACAATGACGGCGCGCGCTTTGCTGCCTCGTCATCGCGCGTTCACTGAGCGTTTTCTTTCTTGCCCTTTGATTGGCGCGCTCTTGGTTGCGTTCAGATGCGCCGAAGACACGTTTTGGGACACTGCTAGCCGTATTCGTTTCCTGCAGGGTTGGGCAGTATCGCGATACAAATGTATCGGGATAGTATTTTAGGAATACATTCTGTATCTGTATTTCTGTATCGCGATACATTTTTTTTTCACCAGTATCTGTATTCCTGTATCGAAATACATTTTGAATGTTTCTTTGTATCGCGATACAATCAGGGTGAAATGTATTTCGTTACATTTCTTGAGGAATACTCCCCTCCTCCCCCCCCCCCCCCAAAAAAAAAAAAAAAAAAAAAAAAGAAAAAAAAATCCAAACGCTTTTTTTGTTTTACTTTTGAGGGCACCAGGGTCAAGGAGATGGTGGGGCATTGTTACTGTGCTGACCAAGGTTCCTTCCGATTCTCCATACTATTTTTCTAGGGGTCCTCTTCTCTCTTTTGAGAACTGTTGCGCAGTCGGGGACTCGAACTAGGTGGCGTGCCAGGAGTGGAGTCAGAGCATCTTGTGCCGCAGGTCCTTAGGTAGGGGTTTCTTGAGCCATTGTTTGCGGGCATCCAAAGCCCGCTGCTAAACGTCTCTCTTGCCTTGACGTACACAGTACACCCATCCGGCAAAGCTGAGTCACAGTCTGTTGCAGCACGAGCCTTTCAGTGGTTGACGTGAAATAGTAGGATAAGTCGCGCAGTGTTCAACAGATATTTGAATGCGTCTGCGGCTGCGACCGTAATATTGCACGGCTCAAGGGTACGTGATCAGCCGACGTGAAAGTGACCCGCTGCTCTGGTGATCCGAAACCCAGAAAGAAGGTCAGACGTGGCCTCGCTGTGCCGACCCAGACTTCGTACACCTGCGACTCGTCTCGAGCGCGCTATTTCTCAGAGAGCTCGCAACTCTGCCGGCAATATCAGGTCGCACTCCACGAGGTCTCTATTTAGAGTATGCAAGGCGAAACTTGATGACTGCAATCTAGACGTCGGTGGCGGAGGGTCAGCAGGAAGCACCTCACAACAGGGATGCCACCGTATCGTTTTTTCAACCGTAACAGAAGATAAGACGTGTGTTCCAGAATGTTTCAGGTGGTCCACCATTCTCGAAAATCCTGCACGATCTTGAACGAGGTAACCTACAACGAAAGTATGTATTGTCCTTTCATACAGCAATGTGGTAAAATTTCATGTTCAAGGACACACCTATACCGTGACGTCATGTGATAAATGTTGACAGGGCGTTCTTATTTGACAGGGGCGTGGGGACGTTTTGATGGGATTTAGGATGACAGAGAATTTATTTAGAGGTCGAAGTCTTTTCGCATCCCTCGTCAGACAGACAGGATGTCAGGGAAGGGGCCACGGTCAGTCCTTGAAAGTTTTTCTGAGCCCATTGAAGACTCCTCTTCGTCCGAAAACACTACCTTCAAGGCAAAGTGCCAAGCCTACGGGAAAGTAATTTCAGGATCCAAAACTTTCACTTCCAACTCCAAGCTTCATCTAATTTGGTCTCAAAAAAATTTGAAAAATGTATTGCAGTATCAGTATTTCTGTATTTGTATTTCTGCCTTCCCTAAAATGTATTCCTGTATTTGTATTTCCAAATACTCTTTGCCTCTATTTAAAATGTATTTCGGATACGTATCGCGATACACTTTTACATACATATTTCAGTATCAGTATTTTAGGTACTATTTTAAAGTATCTCAGTATTTGTATTTCCAAATACATTTTTGAGTATTTCTGCCCAACCCTGGTTTCCTGCCAGTAAGTCACGTTTGCTGAAAATGCTGTATGCGCACACGATAACGCGCGGTTTCCAAACAAGCCCCGAGGAGGTGCGGGCAAACGCGCAGTTTCCGCACGAGGTTTCGGCACTGCGCGTGCGCAGGAATCGCAACGCAGTGGACCGTCTGCGCATGCGGATGGATTAATGCGGCTGAGCCCTCTGGATCGGGCGGTAGCTTACGCCACCTAGCCATTTTGTTTTACCATTTAAGCTTAGAATATTTAAATGTGAAAACTTTAAGAAAGAGGTGTTGGCAGGCGCTCTGCCAACAGCAGCGCCGAGTGTTCAACTGGTTCGATGACGATCAGCAATAGTGCAAAAACCACCCTTGTCAAAAGGTGTCAGATGCACAAACGCGTGGCTTTCTGAGCTTTGCTTCGGCGTCTATTTAACGAGATAAATAATAATAAAAATTATTCCGACCGCATTTTAATTTAAAACGCAATTTTTGTCAAAAAAAAAAACACACACACACACACACACACACACGGGCTTTTTTCTTTTTTTGCTGTAGGGCGCGTTTTGACAGCGAGCGTACGCCAGATCCGCTTCACGGTTATCCACGGGAGGCGTAGTTGCTGTAATGATTAGACGGGAAAAAAGAAATGCCCGTGCGTAACTGTTATCCGCCCAATGCCCATCACGGGGGAAAGACTCGCACGGGCAAGGGAGAGGGGAAGCCCGAGAACGCTTGCGAGCGAACCTGCCGCCACAGCTTTCTGTTCTGCAGAAGCTCAAGTGAAATTGGTAGAAGGTTTTGAAAGCGGCGGCAAGGTTGGGGGTAGGCTATGTTGCCTAAAACCACGTTGAGTGAGGGCAAGCTCAAAATGTGCAAAGTGCGGTGAGCTATGCGGAGCCCAAGTTCGTCTGCTTCTTGTACAGGGGTTGCGATGATGTCAGAATGCCGAGCTCTGATTGGCTCATTGAAAGAAATAGTGGGTAGACCTCAAGGCATATCTACCATTGAGGCCTATCCACTATCTTTCCAATCAAAGGCAATCGGAGCACGACGTCGTTCTGACGTCGATCACCACAACCCCTGAGCAAGAAGCAGACGACCTGCTTTCGGCATACGCGATTAAGGCGGCGCAAAGACCGGGTGGCATATCGTTTTAAACACGATGTCGAATTGATACGATCACAGTGTCTTAGTTTTGCTCTCGAAGACACATTTCAAAACGCGTCAAATTCAAACTGCCGGTTGCAAACGACGCGTTAACATAATGTTAGACAAACCCCCGGGACTGGGGAAAGGACGAAGGACAACACAAAACACGGAGTCTCACTCCGCGTTTTCTGTTGTTTCTTTTCCCCAGTCTCGGGGGTTTGCTTAAAATTATGTTAAACCTTCCTCAGCTCGTTTGCGCCCCAACTTTTTGACGCATTAAAGTCGCGATGCGAGGCCACTTTCTTGAAGAAACTTGACGACCTATCAGATCGAAAGCGTAACTGTGATCGGCCTTCCACGATTGGCCGAATGCTGACTGTGACGTCAGCAAAGGATTTCTCTTTGACGGAAGAGAAATGGAAGCACTTTGGCAGCATTGGTTCCAGAGCGCAATGATTTCAAGCTTCCACCATGCTCATTACAAACACCATCGAACTTGTTCGCCAGGTAAGAGGGAACCATAGAAGGGCGCCACCAAAACAGCTCGCCACTAATACTCCGTTTCGTACTAATACCCGTGCCACACGGGCAACTCTAATGCCATTTACAACGAAGGACATTCGTGTGATCAACGAATAGGCGCTCGATCTGTCGCGCGTGGAACGCCCCGCGCTCGGAGTGTCGCGCGCTGATTGGCCTATCGTGCAAATGTCATTCGTTGTAAATGGCATTCGAGTTGCCCGTGTGGCACGGGTCTACAACGCTATCAAAGGTGCTGGCGCGAGCATGGGGTTTGATCTCGTTGGCACGCGTTCTCGCGCAAACGAAACCATACATGAAGCAACGCGCTTGCGCCAGTAGCTTTGGCCGGTCTCATTCTCATTGTTCGTACGTACGCAGCGTGATTTGCTCGCTTTCCGAAACGACGAACACGCGCGTGCTGGGCTGAGGGCTCGTACATGTTTGAATGGTGTACACGAAATGCGAAACGGAGTATACGTATATTAAACTTATGATCTTGCGGCTACAGAGGCGGAGCGCCGTCACGTGACACAACGGCAGACAGCCGATTGGTCCAGTCGCAACGTAGCACCCGCCTCTTTCAGCGTCACAAGATTCACGAAAGCCACACCACGCGCCCGTGACATTTCTTCTCCAGCTGGCGGCATTTCTCGTCAGCGAAGGCCGAAAAACAAACTGCACGCATCGCTTGCTCCGCGACAAACTATTTTTAGGTCACGCTATCGCACGACGCAAAACACGCCCAGCTACAAGCTCGGCGCGTTCGGAGTGTTTTGAGCACGAGAAAACACGACGCAGTTTCTCCGCATAGGCATGTATCCGGACCTTTTATTCAATAAAAAGGAAACTATGCACAACCGCAAACATTTTTGGCGTAAGGGCTGCATCGTACGCAGTCTGTGCGCTATACAATTTCCGAACTTAATCACACTTTTACACATAAACACACCAGTCGCTCCGGCCTTGCTCTGCTGCTCGTCCGAAAATCCCTCACTTTACGTAATAGTCCTCGAGAAAAAAAAGGAGAGCCTGCATTACTTCTCTGCAGATAAATGAACGAACAGAAAGTGATGTGACGATGGGAAACAATAACAACTATCACACCGCACTGCACTGCGGTCGGTTGATTTACATGAGGCGTAGCGTTGCTTTGAACGGCAGGAGTCACCAGTCTTCGAGGGGTGCGGCGTATCCATTGGTGAAGGCCGCCACTTGGGGTCCCTCGGGTATGGTCCGCTTGACTGCACACAAGACGCACCAATTTTATCCGCACTTTAAAATTGGCCTTACAAGGCTAGACTAAAGAAGGAAATGACTGTACTAAAGTAGCAAGTTGAGCCAGTTGGCAAACACTGTACATAAGAGAGCTGAACGTGGAGCCACAACTGGACAAAGCTTTGTCTTGTTCTCGTTTACTGAGCTGTTCATCCCCCTCCTGCACAGCGAATTACTGCTTTATATTTCTACGTTAAGACATGGTAAAAGATAGAAACACGAATTTCCCATTATGTATTTTGAAATGACCTAAAATCGATTTACTGAAGGGACAGAAAAGACAAATTTAAAGGTGTTTTTTTTTTTTTTTTGCGAGAAGTATTGGGGAGTTTACTTTCAAAAACGAAAATACCAAGTAAAAAAAAAAAAAAAAAAAGACTGCACCATTTTAATTTTAATGTCGAAAGAATTTGCAGTTTGTATTTTTTTTGTTGTTTATCCAAGCACAAGTGACCACAAACGCGCAACATTGCCCCGTAAAACTGCTATTCCGCCGAGTACCGTAATACCCTGAGAGATAGCTTACCTAAAATCGACAGCAAATCAGGTCAAAATATGGAGTGGGCTCACTTTCGGTGCAAAATCAAGAAAATTAAAAAACAAAACAAAACAAAAAAACACTCTTTTTAGATAATGTTTTCCTGTCAGACTTTTTATCGCGGCGAGGGACAATGAAGCAAAGATGACATGTACTTCCCAGTCTGCAATGCTAGCTAATATCCCGCCATAGCCAACAGGCCGCATTTCATTGACCCGAACACTACGATTACCAGGACAGGGCTATCTTTCAGTGTTTAAAAGAAAATGACAAATCAAGCCAAAAATAAGGGTAGGTTATCTTTCGAAGATGGGGCATCTCTCAGGATATTAAGGTAATCACAAAGGAGAGAGAAAAAAAAAAAAAAAAAAAGAAAAGACGTTTACAATTTCCTGTAATGCCGAATTAGAGCGCAGCTCTTGAGGAGGAGGGTATGACCCTCCTCCTCATCCATACCCTCCTTTTCTGCTCCCCTCCCATTTAGCGGAAAATTTTTGCTAAATTTCGTGCTAAAATTTTAGCGAGCAATTTTTTCTGCTAAATTTAGTGGAACATTTTTCCGACTAAACTTAGTGGGGACATTTGTTTGCTAAATTTAGTGAGGAATTTTTCAACTAAATTTAGAGGGAAATTTTTTCCGCTAAATTTAGCAAGTACATTTTTTTTCCGCTAAATGTACCGGGGAAAAATTTCCGTTACATTTAGCGGGAAAATTTTGCTGCTAAATTTAGCGCGGAATTTTTCCCGCTAAATTTAGCGGGGAACTTTTCCATTAAATTTAGCCGGGAAATATTCCCCTGAATTCAGAAAAGAATATTTTCCGCTAAATTTAGCGGGAACATTTTTCAGCTAAATTTAGCAGGGAAATTGTTCTGCTATATTTAGCGGGGAATTTTTTCTGCTAAATTTATTGTTGAATTTTTCCACTAAATTTAGTGGGAAAAAGTTTCCGCTAAATTTAGCGGGGAAATTTACCCATAATGTAACGTGCGGTGACGTCATTATGGGAAACGTCGCTCTAAAAGCCGAATTATTCGCCGATCTGCAGCCACATGCGACGGTTACGGGGACTACGGTGAGAATGCCACTGCTGCTACACTCGCCGTCAGCCCCGAGGCGAACCGTGTTATGTGTAGATTGCTAGCCGCGACCTTTGACGATACTAATCCTTGAAAGGTCGACAATCGCGGAGGAAGCAGCAGGGATCTCTGAAGACAGAACCCAACGGGAAACCAGGTGATCCCCCAGAGTAGGTCGCTTGAGAGAGGACGTGGAGGGTTGAGAGGCACTTTGACCTCCGATTTATTTCACATTTTTAAAATAAAAAGTAGTACGCACAAGAAAATACTGTTTTCTGCTCTTCGATACATAAATGACAGATTAAATCCCACAGTTAATTGGCGAAAGTCCGAAAATCGTTGCACTGCCCCTTTAAAGGGCAACTCCAGCTCATTTTTGTTTTAAAAAAAACAATGCAGTCCTCTTCAGTATCATTTAGGAAGACCACGGGTCAAATATTATGACCTAGTTCTGTCTGAATGTTTCAGGGGCCCTGCAATGACTCTTACTGGTTTTTAAAGGAGCTGTGCAACAGTTGCAGTGCTTTGCTTAAAGGAGCTGTGCAACGATTTTAACGTTGAAAGAATTGGCATTTTCTGCTTTTGATATTGTTCACTGTGTCACAAATGGCAGAAAACACACCTCCTTTCATCGCAATGTTGCGATTCCGCCGCGTAATAGCGAGGCAAAACTTGGAATATTTCCCGACCTGCAGCCACGAGCGGCGGCCATGAGAAACAAGCGGCGTGACGTCACTTGGGTCGTTGTAAGAAAGATAGCAAGTTGTGCGAATACCTGCTCGATAAAAGGTAACTCTTTTTACAAATCTTGTCGTTCCAACATATATATAAATGCGTCAACACCCTGGTATCATCGACAACTTTTATTATACGGAGTTTTAGTGGCGCCATCTATCCTAGGTCCACAAAACCGCGAACAGCCGCCAGAAGCCGGAGGGGGAGGGGAACAGCGCCGGACGGGCAAGGACGGGTGGTCACGCGGTCGGCAGCGGATGAGTTCTCGCTGCTCGCTGATGGCTTTAAAGAGAGAACTTTTCCGGAACTCCGCGCCTACTCTAGTGACGTCACTGTGCACGTGACCCGGAAGACGATGCACGAGTTGAGAGGCGGCAAAAACCTGGATCTTTTTCATTTTTTTAAGTAAAAACTAGGGTATCCAGGCAAAATCTGTTTTCTGTAGTTCACTGCAGAAGTTCACTGCATCAACTTCCACAATTATTTAAGCAAAGCCCTGAAATTGTTGCACAGCTCCTTTAAATGATTTGGGAGTTGGTGTCTCAACCTTTCTGAAGTAAAGAACAAAAAAATGAAAGCCGTTTACAACTCCCTGTAACGCCGGATTAGAGCGCAGCTCTTGAGGAGGAGGATGGAAGGGTACTGGGGGATAGGATGGTAGGGTACTAAGGGATAGGTGACTCCATGAGGTCATGTGACCTCGGCGGGGGGAGGGGTCACGTGACATCAGGGGGTCACGTGACCTGAGGGGGTCACGTGACCTCAGCGGAGGGTCACGCGACCTCAGGGAGGTAACCCTCATAACACTCGTGAGGGTAGCCCTCGTGACCATCGTGAGGGTAACCCTCGTGAGGGCAACTCTCATAACCCTAGTAACCGTTGTGAGGGTAACCCTCGTGGGGGTAACTCTCATAACCCTAGTAACCGTTGTGAGGGTAACCCTCGTTACCCTCATGTGGGTTACGAGGGTTACTCTCACGTGAGGGTAACTCTCATAACCCTAGTAACCCTTGGGAGGGTAACCCTCGTGAGGGTAACTCTCATAACCCTCGTGAGGGTAACCCTCGTAACTCTCGTGAGAATAACCCTCGTAACTCTCGTGAGGGTTACGAGGGTTGCTACCTTCACGAGGATCACGAGGGTTACCCTCGTAATCCTCGCGAAAGGAACCCTCGAGAGAGTAACCCCCGTAACCCTCACGAGGGTTGCGAGGGTTACGCGCGGTTACGCCGACGGCGACGGCGACGCCGCTCAAGCCGGAAACGGGCGCCTAAGAGCTGCGCTCTAAAAACCGCTTTTGCCTGCATGTCCTAGCTTTTATTTTAAAAATGGACAAAGATTGAGGTTTTCGGCACCTTTCAACCCCTTCACAATCTTCCGAGTCACGTGCGCTGTGACAATGCAGGAAATGTAGGCGGGACGCTACAATCCCTACACCCCTACTCGTAAAGCGATATCTCGAATGGATGGCCGTATTTTTGGAAAAAGAGGTCGAGATTGAACCAGGCCGACGAGGCGCGTGACGTCAATATACCGAGTTTCCTCCTCTCTTCGCTTCGCTCCCTCAAGGCCGCGAGGCGGAGAAGACGCCAGGCCGTTCCCTCTCCTTCTCGGAGAAACGTGACGACATCATCTCTGTCAAATGCGCCTCCTTTTCTTGAAAAAATTGGTCATCCGTTCGAAATATCGCTGTATGAGTGATGTTTTGGTGTTTGTAGCACCCCGTTGCACGCTTTTTTCTGCGTGTTTTGGGAAATTCAAATTTCGGTTCAGCATCCCTTTAAAGCCATCAGTGAGCAGCAAGTACTCATCCGCTCGCGACCGCGTGACCACGTGCTGGCGGGCGCAGCGCAAACAATATGGTGAAAGGAGGAAAGTCACGTCCGGGTCCGGCCATCCCCGTCCGGCGCCGCCTCCCTCCCCCTCCGGCTTCTGGCGGCCGTTCGCGGTAGCAGATAGAGCTGACAGTTTTCTGGACCTAGGATAGACGGTGCCACTAAAACTCCGTATAATAAAAGTTTTGTCGAAGACACCAGGTTTTCGACGGATTTATATATATATGTTGGAACGACAAGATTTATAAAAAAAGTTACCTTTTATTGAGCGGGTATTCGCACAACTTGCTATCTTTCTACAAGACCCCCCCATTGACGTCACGCCGAGTGTTTCTCATGGCTCCCACTCACGGCTGCCAGGTCGGGGAATATTCTCATATTAACCCCGCGATTACGCGGCGGAATCGCAACATTTCGAGGGAAGAAGTTGTGTTTTCTGTCCTTTGTGACAAGGTGAACAATGTCAAAAGCAGAATATCCCAATTCTTTAAACGTTAAAATCGTTGCAGAGCTCCTTTAATTTGCATCGAACCTGAGCGTACTGAACGTAGTAACTTGATGAAACTTTACTTTTTTCGAAATTCCCTTTATTTTAAAAGTTATAGGGAAATTAAAATTACAAAAACAAGCAAAAAATAACCTCCCTCATGACGTCCTTGGTTGCTTGAGTGGCCGTGAACTAGAGAAGGGGTAGCCAACTCAGCGAGCGCTCACGGCTGCCGCACTCCGTGTAGACGGCGCGAGAGGGCGCCACTAAAGCATCTTCTGGATAGGCTGTGTGCACCGGGCAGTCAGGGCGACTCGCACTGCATTTGCTGCGCGATTAAAGACTAATTCGACATGATACTTCATTCGCCACAAACGACAGCAAACACGGGGTAAAGATCAGTTTAGAATGCGAACCACTTTGCGCTGCCATACCACCAAACGGCCAAACCGCAAGCCAAACTTGCTCACCGAAGGCCTTTGGAACGCTCGGAGCCGGTCGGATCCTCGAGCCTGTATACGGCTGCAGTGCCGCCGCGTACATCCAAGACCTTTCTAAGCTCGCCGCTCGTCGGTGCCTGATCCCACTACACACTTTTAGTATGCGCTGCCTTTTCCACCGCTTGGTGGCGGGTATGTCAACGGGTCATCTCTTGTTTCCATACTTTAAAAACTGCATTTGCTTCTTTTCTGATCTAAAATATTGAACAAAAACTACTTTCATAAATAACTGAAACGGTTCGCGCCACTTATATTTTGTATTTCGACTAAAAGGAAGCTTTTAGCAGCTCTGACCAGTAGTAAGCCCAAGACCAAGGGCTTCACATGTCGCGCGCTTTCGGTACTGCGGGTTGCCCTTGTAGGTGGAGGAGGTTTCCACATCGTCCGGTTAAAAATATGACCCACTGATATTTAGTTACTCTCTCTGTGCCCGCTGGCTTGCCCAAACCCCAAGATGTGGAAACCGCAAAAAAAGGTAGACGCTAAAATATGATTGCAGGGTCCCTTTAGACGGTAAACTTTGCAACGTGCCAAGTTGCCGAAATTGGCTGACATTATCGGGCGAATTGAGGCGCAACCAACAGCGCAGTCAAGGCTACGGCGTTGGCGTAGCCAAAATTGAGCTAAACGTCATCACCATTGCTCGTTTTGGCTTGTTTTTACTTCTCCGGGCGAGCGCAACGAGTGACGTCAGCAACGTTTTCTCGGCACTCAGCGGTGTCCACGTGATTGGCGTAATGCGCCTGCGCAGTGCGCTACTTGGGAGGCATTCAGCCCTTACCGCCGTTTTCCGAGTCACAACCGCGGCCGTCATTCTCACCGTTTGTGATTATAGTCTCTCAGAGTTTTGTTCACACTATGTGCGCAGACTGATGCCGCAGTTGTGCGGACGACACTTGTGCCTGGCACATGCCCGCCTAACGATGGCCTGCCGTCCCACCCCAATCCCGCCCGTCGTTGTGTTGACGATCATGGAACATCTCGTACCACGTGATAACCATGTTTTTGGCGGCCCGAGGCCAATGTTGCGAGACGGAGCCAAGTTTTGGTTTAAATTTCTGCTCATGTTTAAGGTAAGATTTAAGAATATATATCCCACTTTTTGTGAAGCAAATGGCGTAGCGCCTTTTATTAGTGCTTTTTAATGTAAAATCACTCATTATCCCAAAATATTTGGAATTGCACCCTTTAATAAAATTTATGCATAGAATTTGTTACAAGACAATGCACGAGACACGTGCCATGAGCAAGACCCGTGCTGCCATTTGTTTTGAAAGGCCACATGGGGCACACGCCTCGTGCAACAGCACTTTAGATGCTACTTGTAAGAGAATCACAACGTCAAGGGGCTTTAGTTGAGTGATTTTATGACAGCAGCTCGACTGTGGCAAAAGAGAGCACGAGCTAGAGAGTCCTTCCACCTATGCCGCCAGAGCGCTTTGTTCGACAGACCTACAGCAAAGCCATTCTTTTCTTTCTCTCCACATTTGAACTGTGTCCTCATAGCGAAGTCTGTACTCCATCCTTTGTTAGTGATCACTGCCACCGGTACACTAGTTATTTACCTCGCCTCATTGGCTTTCAACGCACCAATGTCCATCTTGGACGCATTACTGTATCAGAGGCTCTTGCAGAACACAGTCAACATACATTAGCTGCAAAGCACACGCTTAAAATCCACTTCAGTGTCCCTTCAGGAAAAAAACATCAAAAATAGGCCCTCCATTTCCCCACCTTTTTCAGAGAGGAGTGCTTCACATCTTGCAATTTCCGTCTCGATGGAGCTCAGTTCATCCACCTTCAGATTCGAGACCTTGTTTGTCATGATGTCGGCGTGGATCTCTTTTCTGAAGTGGCAGAGAAACGTCATTTTGCCACAAAAACCAGGTGGAGGAACAGAACATGGCATGCACAAAATCACTGATTTTATGGGGTTTGGAGGTCGCTTGACACAAAATAGGTACAAAAGACATATTCTTAATATGCTCGTTTGCGAGCATGTGCCAACCCTTCATAATTCTAAGTACTTTTTCGAGGTTGCAGGGCTGCACATAGCTTGCAAAATACGCACAAAAACACCAATATTAAAATTATTCAAATGGCTTTTAAGTATTTGCTTTATGCACTTCATACATTAACATCAAGCCACAAACCAAATTTGATCTTAATACCAATCCATAATCTATTCATCTAAGAAACACCGCTGATTGAAGTAGCATGCAGTACAACTTCTATAATCAACCTTTTTACACTCTCTATCTGAACCTAGACTTTCCATTTCCACAACACATCTGACTAGCAAGTGTCCCACATTCACAATTCCCGAAATCCATTCTTCTCACAACAATGTTTTGCAGGGTAAAGGCTGGTTCACACAGGACCGACATCCTACGTTGTGTTATGTCACGGGAGCTTGGGACTGCTTACAATGCGGGTTACCGGAATATTTGTTCCATGCATGAAGTGCGACAACCAATTCAAGGGGTAGCTTTGTTGCAACATGATCTCGTGTGCTCTGGTGATTTACGACGTAATGTAAGAAAACATAAAAAAAAAGCCTAGTGAATGGCTGCCACCCCCCTTCTTTGCATGCCACAATAGACCTTTTCAGAAATTTGGTGTAATCTAATGGCTTACGTAGAAAACCAAGTAAAGAAAAAAAATCTTTTTTGGTTGAAAAAATTAAATTTATTTGATGGAAATAAGATTAATTTGATTTATATCACTGTAGCTAGAAAGTAGTGACCCTCCATCAATACATGTATTTTTAAGCATAAAAAACTGATCAATCCATCCGATCACTGATAACAATACATAAGAATTCCTGGGAATTTAAAGTCAGTTTAATTAAACAACTTCTTATTTATGTGTAAACCCCACCATATTACTAGAACAAATATAGCTTGTAGTTTTACTTAGCTAGAAAGCTTAATTCACTTTTCTTTTGTGCTCTGATTCGCTTGCAATCAGACATTATATTTCTAGTTCTTGTTTCCTTCTACTGCCTTCCGGCTTGTATGCATCAGGACAATAACATAACTGACAAAACAAAGTGTAAGATAGAAGGAAAGAGCAATGGTCCAATTTGCTCAGAAGAGCACTGTTTTCCGCTCGTGTTCAGCCTGACAAAGCAAATTTGTCTTGCTTGACAACTCTTTGATTTCAGTGCAAAGCAAATGCCCATATAAAGCATCAAAGGAGACAAAGTAGATAAAAACAATTTTGGAGATTATTTTTGCAGGAACGATTTGATTTTAATCATCATAGTAAAACTGGTCAGATTTAAATTCCAAATGAAATCATCTTGTTTTTTAGTTCCCACCCTGCTTACACATCGGTCTAAATTTTTGCATGCTGATGGTGGTAAAAATATATTCTGGCACCATCACTTCTGTATATTAAAGGGCATCTCCGATCAATAGTTTTTAATTTGGGATTACAACTGTTTTCAGCTAAGCCAGTGTCCCTGAATTACAAGGTATAATTTTTTTCCCCCTGATATATTGTGTAGTTTTATAAATATCACGGCTGAAAGTTTGGTTTTGGGCGTCTACGGGAAAACCGGAACTATCTGCTAGAGGGAGGGCAATATTTTGATCATTATCCGTACGACTGCGACGCAACATCACCATGGTGCTGCGGTACGCTGTAGAACCAACCGACCGTAAGCTTTACCGCGACGTGATGTCACAGGGGTGCTGTGCCAGTGTCCCTTGATTAAAAGCTAATCCGCTTGCCGCCCTCTAAAGCGCAGCTGGTCGCATCTTTAAAATCGGTTTTAGTGGAGTATGCTGCTTTACTTTGATGTAATATTTCGGCTGTGATCATATTTTGTGCAACTAAAGCGATACCAGTCATTTATTTTGGTATCGTTTTCATCCGGAGTTGCCCTTCAATAGATCGACCTCACCAGCCTATTTCGTTATGCGGCCGCTACCGGCAGCATCGTAGGAACTGTAGTCTTTTGGTACGTGTGACAACCCTGCTGCGGGTCTGCGCAAGCAGAGCACGAGACGACACGAGCAGTCTTGTCCACTGTCGCCTGCCTCCTGCAAACTAGAGTTATGGCGGTGTTAAGCATGCGTGGAATACTTGGCGAAATCAATCCATTGGAGACGTACGAAAGTGACATGTTCTCTGCCGTACAGTTTTTTAGAGGCGAAGCTCCTTAGGGTCTAGCCTTGTCTGTCCGGCATCCGTGCTCCCATCGATCTTGCTGATGTTGGTGAGCTCACGTGCTCACATGGTCGTGTAGGGCAAAAAAAAAAAAGATGAAAAAAAGAAAAAATGTTTGCGCAGTCGACAGGATTCCAACCTGTGCGGGGAGACCCCAATGGATTTCTAGTCCATAGCCTTAACCACTCGGCCACGACTGCGGGACGAGTAGGGGGCTCTAAGATGTGGTAGTAACTCAAGAGCCGAATATGTCATGGATGAAACGTTGCATGTAGCCGCTCAACGTCTATACAGAAGAGGGCGCTGCGGTCAAATGCGTATATAATCGCGTTAAACTTTGCATGCATTGGCTCAACGTTTATAGACGAAAGTGCGCTGCGGTCAAATGCTCAAATGCGTATATAACCACGTTCTATACCACACATTCTCTTTCTGACATGGATGAAAACAAACGAAAAGCTCGGCATGCTGCGGCTCAGCGTCTACGTAGAAAAGCACCACCAGAGCTTCGCCCCAATCAACATCATGCACCACGTGGAGATGCGGTCAATTTTTTTCTATTCCTTTCAGTTTCAATGGTGGCAAAGAACTGCTACTCCCTCCAAGGCACTAACCCAAGTAAAACTCTCGACAAAATTCACCACATCAAAAGGCTTGCGAGTCAAGTGTGTGCCAAAGACGCAAGTCCGACGGGAACACAGATGCAGTGCTCGCATTCAGCAGGCATTCACCGACCGACCGTCCATCAGTTCGTTGTTACGAGCCGTCTACAGCGTGTCGAAGGTGTGCATTTCGAGGATTTGCATCACCCCTTCAAATGCGTGGCACAGAGACGCTTTATGTCTCAGCGCGCCTACGGGGACAACAAAACGGCGGACCGACATCTAGAATGGCCAGACTTAACATCGGTGATTGCGATCGACTTCCTCCTCCATCAACCCCACCAGAGGCCGCCATCAACAAGGACAGATGAAATACACTTCAGCAACAATAGCTGTTGAAGTGGACAGACTGAATTTCAAAAATGGTCTATTAATGGCTTTCCCCTTCAATCCATCCCTCCTCCTGGCCGAGCCCACCAGTGAGCGAAAAACGCCGCCACTCCGACGAGAATGCTCAAATGATAGTCACCTGCGTGCGCTCAGTTTGCGCAGTTCGTCTTCCACCGATGGAGAGTCGTCCGAATCGCTGTCGTCCGACACGTTCTGAAAAGGTCGCGGTATGAGCGACCCCGTGGCGAAATGCAAACGACGGGATCCCTCCGCTACCCACCATCCAATAGTCAGCGTTCGGGTCGAACGACCTCAAGACAGAGGACACCTCATGCCTCAACCGTTGGCTGGGGAACTCGAAGAGGTTCAGCAGGTCATTGACGCTGGAGGAGGCAATCAAAGTGTTCCGGGGTCAGGCACCACAACCCGCAGAACAAATCTCCTCGCTCCAACGGGTAACGAGATGCTATAGCTGTCTTCACCATAAGAAATCCAACAGTGCCAATTCACCGTTCTAAACAAGCATTGGAAATGGCTAAAACATGCTGCACAGTCACTGACAGCAATACAGGACACTGCCTATTATGATCCTGCTTCTTACTTCGCGATTTATTCCTCGGCGGTCATATCAGCTGATGTCGCACTCTCAATGGCTATGGGGCAATAACATGACGTTCAAGATTCATGATGCCCTGTGCTTCTTAAGCTGACAGTGGCTATGCGGAGCGCAAGTTCGTCTGCTTCTTGCGCAGGGGTTATGATGATGCCAGAACGCCGAGCTCTTATTGGCTGATCGAAAATATAGCGGGTAGACCTCAAGTCATCTAGCATTGAGGTCTACCCACTATCTTTTTAATCAAAGCCACTCAGAGCTCGGCGTCATTCTGATGTCACCGCAACTACGCAAGAAGCAGACGACTTGCTCTTCGCATAGAAGTGCACACATAGGTCTGGTTGGAATGATATCTAAATTTTGCGACTATCGTCTCACGACCTTGGGTGGGTGTGCGTTTGGTGTTTTTGTGGTAATTGAGTGCATGTTTTAACAGTTCTCCCATTATGCGAGAGATGCCGAAGAGTTGGGTTGAGAAAAAGTTACGTTGCTGTTATGTCCGATTGAAAACGCTGTAAAAAAACGGCACCCAAACACTGCCTCACATGCCGGCCAACGTCTCAACAATGCCCCTATCTTGACCGCAGAAGCAAAAAGCTTTGTCATCGGCAGAAAGAAAATCCGTATAACAGATGATAGGAGGCAGTCTCATTCTTTTTAGCTATGCCTACACTCAATGATTTATGTAGCCAAGAGAGTCTCCTTTCAATATCTTTTCTTGTTTGACTCCTTTGGAACATTATGGTCTGCTCGCTTAAATATGAGTTGCATAAACAATGAAGTAAATAACCTCAACAAAAAAAAAACATTCATGGATTATGTAGGGACTAATAATAATCCAAAAGTCACGTAAACTTTTCAGCCAGTACAATCTTTCAGGAAGAAACAGCCAGAAGCTTGCAACTGCAATAGAAAGTAAGGAAGCTAGCAATAAACCTCACTTTTTTAATTTGAAGAATGTCACCTGCGGAGCCAACAACTGCTTCACCTTCACCCCGGGAACGTTGTAACTGAAAAGTGAGCACATAAAATTAAGCGGTTTTGCCAGGCACACACAAACTAAAACACGCACAGCACTCATGGCAACGGAATTGGCGACTTTAGAATAGCACATGCTGGCTTGTACGTCAACTAAATCGACAACCTAAAAAAACAAAAAAGTAATTTTTTTTTTTTAGACAGCATAGAAAAAGTTTATGTATTACAAAAAAAAAAGGTAAAATTATTTACAGATATTTCTTTTTAGTTAACTGCTTTCAAAAGTGTGTGCCAAAAGACGCCAAGGCAAGCCAAGGGCAGCATTCTCATCTCCTCCGTGTTGCAAAATCCCACGCGAGAGAAGTGGAAAGGAGGAGCGCTGACAAGAGGTAGCCAACGATAACACTGCCCTTGGCGTGTACATGTGGTGACGTTGTGTACACATTTTTGGCGTGTGCATTTAAAAGCTGTAAACTAAAACAAGTATAGCGCTGTAAACAATATTAGGAAAAAAAAATTTTTTGCAGAAAGTTTGTTTTGTAATATTGATAATTTCTCCAAACTGTTTAAGAATTTTTTTTTTTAAATTTTTGTTTTATTTATTATAAAGCACAAGCTGTGCTTGTACACAGAAAAATATTCCTTGTGAAAGGACAGACAGCTTCGTGTACTATCGTGTAAGAATGAAATGCGACCAGCACGGCCTTCGACACAGGCTGCACAACCTGAGGCAACTAGCAACTGATAAAATTTACATGGAGAGAGGTGCTACGAGGGTGTGCATATTGGAGTAGGCGCACACCCATGCGGCCCCCTTCCCACCCCATAGCTAATCAACCAAATTTGGGGGTTTTACGTGCCAAACCAACGACGGGCATCTGGCAGGCCCCAGCGGAGGCCTTAGGATTAATTTGAACCACCTGGGGATCTTTTGACGTGCAACCGAAAGCACCCCATAGCTCTATCAGTTTCTAGTTGCCTCTGGGTAGTACAGCATGTATCGTAGGCCCCGAGAACCGCTGTTCGCATTTCATTAGTACTTGATAGTAGATGCATGCAGTAATAGGGTTACGTGAAGGGGTGTGCGAATAAAGAATAGTAGTTACCAAATCGAATACCGAATCAAAGTAAGAAAAAAAGCCGAACATCGAATAGTGATTTTATTCGTAGGAATCTTTCAAAGTGTACTGTGAATGAGATTATTTTATGTGCAGAGTATGCCCGGTGCAGAATATGCATTTCGTATGGAAAGTAAGCTCTAATGTAAAAAAGTTCAGGTGAAAAAAAAGAAAAAAGAAAAGAAATGCAGCTGTTGATGGATGTTGGGAACTAAAGATCCAATTTTATGGCGAAAATATAATCTACATACCCGAAGCGTCACAAAAAACCCAAAGCGTGCCTTTTTTTCTTGTTAAAAGCACGACCTAACGCTGCGACATGTCATTTTTTATATTTGCATATCTGAGAAAAGGGTCATTTTGCGATATTTGGTCTCAATTTTAAAAGAGGAAAAAGGGCACCCGGGATTTTATTTTATGTAAATAAACAGATAGCTGGAAAATCTGAGTAAACAGGCTTAAACAATATAAGCTGAAGTAAGAAAAAAAACATGTGGTTAGGTGGCGCAAGTCACCGTCCAACTGCCACTATCCATCCATTCCTCCGTCCATCTCTCCTGTTTAGAGAGCCTAGATTTAAAAGAGGAAGCAAGCGAAACTGAAACCATGAAGATGGCTTCTGCACAGATTGGTCGTAAGCGCGCATTTGTTGTGTCGTCGCGTGGAGAGAAGGCAAGCAAACGGAAGAGCGACGACGCCTGCCCGATCAACGCTTTCGCCAAATACTTGCTTTTCATCCCCTTCTCGCAGTTCGTAATTCAAACACGGCTATCGAAAGGTTGAAAACTCTCTGAAATCTAGGCACACTATTTTTCTGTTCCGTTTCCAATTAGAATTTGTGGCTTCCATTTCGAAAAGAACGACGACGACAACTCGGCTGGTTTCATCGGCGTGGTTAACGTGGTTTTCTTTTTGTGATCTTGCAGTTGCTGATTTCTGTGAGTGTGGCAAGTGTGTTATACATCGGCGCTTCAATTTGAAACGAGGGGCTTTACTCGTGAAAAGAATTAGGCATGGCACGGAATTTCGGCCTCCCAACAATTCCTCTCTGAAAGCGGCGCAAACGGGATGTTTCGCTTATGATTCAAGGTTAGATTGTGTCACAATCATGAGTGAATCTGCGTTTCTGGTTTTCGTTACTTTTCTTTTTTCTAACCTGTGCGTTAGATTTTTGTGGAATAGTAGGGCCAAGTGGTGTTTCGGTCTGTCTAACATCACGGCGCTAACTTCGGGAGAAAGAATGGCTCTTTTGTCAGCTGTGCGCTGACCGCACTTCTTTGACCGAATATATTGAATACTCGAGTGATCGAATACTAGGCATTCGATTCGCAAACTTAATTATTCGGGAACTTGTTATTCTATTCAAATTCGCATATTCCAGTATGTATTCGCACACCCCCAGCTACATGAAATAATCAGCACACCAGCAGAACTGCGAAATGCTTCTACGAAGTGTCTACTTAGCTCAGATGTAGGGTTTTTGCTCTTTCAAGTATCTTTACAATTGTATAATCTTTGTTTCTTTTAGTCAGAGACCCTTTGTGATACTTGTCTCTTGTTCAAGCCTTTGTAATATGGTGCAAATAACTCCTATTTCAAGTCCTAGCATATTCACTTTGACAACTATACAGTAAACTTTCGTTAGTTCGACCTCGGTTAATTCGACTTTTCGTTTAATTCAATCAAGTTCAAAAGTCCCGGCGAGCGCCCATACATTTCTATGGGAGGAAAAGTTTGATAGTTCGAACTCGGGAAGACTCCTCATCGGATAATTTGTCCTGAGCAAATGCGCGCGGGCTCACACTGCACGGCACCACGGCAGAAATACCACCAACATACGGCGAAACACGGGCCCTTTGTTGCGAAGCCGAACGTGCGCAAATATGCGCCTGCTCCTCTACGTTGTTGAGATGGACCGTAGCGAATAACACGAGCCAGCGCAACCAATCTGGCGTGGAGTAGCGCGGAAAACATAGCACGTGGTCGGGCGAGGAGACAGCGCGCGCTCTCAAGGCGCTTTTCTGTAGCATCGTGTGCAGTCCATCTTTTGTGCCAAAAAACGCAAATTTTTTTTTTTTTTTTGATGGTTTGGTTGTTGGGCGCCAAAGTCGGCTTTGTAAAGCTTTCTCAGCGAGCATCCTCAAAGAGCTTTTCTGTAGCATCGTGTGCAACCCATCTTGTGCGCCAGAAAGCGCGAGTTCTCTTTTCCTTTTCTTATTTTTCTTTGACGCCGACGGTCTGGCTGCCTGGTGCATAGAAGAAGAAAAGCAATAGAAAAAAAGAAAGAAAAAAAAGTAAACTCGTAAAACTTGTTTTTTTTTTTTTTTCTGTAGCACGCAATTTTTTTGGGACGCAACGTTTAGTTACGCTGCTCTCCGGAGCATGCCTTTGGACACGCGTTTTAAGCGCAGACAGCAGCAGACCATCCGTGAGTACTTTGAACAATAAAAGGTAGTTTAATTTTGACCGTTTTCTGTCTTTTCTTTTAATTCGATCATTCGACCAAATTTCAAGGTCCTGTTGACATTGAAGTAACGAAAGTTTACTCTAATAGAATATTTGAAAGCACTGTCAAATGAAAAATCATGGGCAGGGCTGGCCCATCCAGCGTCCTGGGCAAACTCCGGCGGTGGCTTCCCCTTTCCCCTTTTTTTTCCTTTTTGTACGCCTTTATCTACTAGGTACAACATCACATTGTTAGTAAGCGTGTGAATAGCGGCCCAACGCGAGCGTTTTGTCAGATGAGAACCGCATTCCAAAAACGAATGGGCACCGTGTTCAAATAAATCAAAAACCTATAAAACAAATTCCAAAGGGGGACGCGGCAGCGCTCCCTTTCAATGGTGCCCTGGGCGACTGCGCAGGTCGCCCACTTCTAGGGCCAGCCCCGATCATAAGCATGCACTTCTTAAACTTTACACCATACTTTGCACAAACGAGCAAGCCCGTGGATATTTAAGGTATTTCTGGGTCAGACACAACAAAAGGCGTCTGACACAACCCAGCGAAGGACATTGACCATCTTGCGTTACTATCCGTATGAAACTAAATCCAACTGCACGTAACTCACCCAGCCATCTGGTTGAACAGTTCGACATTACTGTCTCTGTGCAGCACGAGGATACGAAACTGGATCTGTTTTTCTTCCAGCTGTGGAAATAAACAAATGCAGCGATGAACAGTTGAACGCAACGCGGGAAGTAATGGACAAGATACGATCGTAAGACATAAAAGAGAACTGACATTTTGAAGCAGCTGGTCCGACGTTAGTCCTAACAGCTGCCCCACGTTAGCAGAGCTCACGTAGGGCGTTTGGTCGTAGTTGAGGACCATGAGGCACTTGCCAGACTTGAGGTACTCTCTGCACAACAAATATACAAGACACCACTCGTAATTGGGAAGACAAGATAAAGAGCACTGGTACACACAAAAAAACAACCTAAACACATAAAAAAAAAATACATAAAAGGGCTGACTCTTCTAAACTTTATCACCAAAATAATACAAAATATTGGTACTATACTCCACTTCATACTTAGTATACATCCGCGGTTTCGTTTGCGCGAGAACGTATGCAAACAATCTGCAAGATGAAACGGCCCACGCTCGCGCCAGCAGCTTTGACAGCGTTGTACACTAAGTAGTGGGAAACAGAGTATAGGAACAGGCGAAGTGCTTGCACCTCTGACAAAAGTTCAAAACTGCTTCTCTCCAGTTCGAAGGAATGCAAAGACCATGAGTTACAGCTTCTTAGAAACAAAACACGGAGAACTAAGAAATGCTGTAGAATACCGGGGCGGCGCTCACCCCACTTTCACTGGAAACTGGATTAATCTAGACCTGGGCGCTTGTCCGGTCAAATTGGGTGCTTAACGTATAACTTACGGAATTCACAAGTTTGGAACACATTATTAGCGGGCGCTTGAACGAAATGGGCACTTCCACGGTATTTTACGGGATATATGCAATATGAAGAAGATAGCCTCAATCCGAATACTCCAAGCCTGCCCAGAAAGAACAAAAAAAAAAAAGAAAGGTGGCATTGTCAAAGGGTCAGGGCCCATTTGAAGGAAGGGCAGTTACGTTTGAAGATGAATAAATTTTATCCCAAAAAACCTAAAGCACATAGTCATCACAGACATCTACAGAAGGGCAATCCTGCAACATATAAAAGGCTGTCAGGCACCCAGCTGTGAAGAAAAAAAAACAATCAGTAAACGGTAAAAGACCAGATTAATGTCTCTTTAATTACTTGAGCATATTTTAGTGGAAGGTGTTCCAAATTCCTACTAGCTTGACATTAAAATACTGACCAGTTCAGGCAGCCCCTGAAGAAAAACTCCACAAAAGTACACAGCACTGGAATACGATATTTCCAGTGTACGAGCCACTCCGTGGCTACACACGACTCATACAAAGGTAGGGCCTACATACCAACTTTTTTGTAAAAGCGGCCGTTTATATACAGAAAGGGGGGGGGAGGCAAGGACGACGACTTACACAACATAGTGACTGATAAATGAAAAAATACAGTATATAAAAATAACTGGCACACAAAGGATAAGTGTCAGAAGAAAGGTACTCACGGCTTGATTGACCTAGCGTTGCAGGGGCCATCAAGCTCCCTCCTGAGGACACTCATAAAGTCCTCGTTCCTGTCAAAGGAAGAGAAGCAGCCTCAACCAATAGTACAAGCACCTTGGATCACTTCGCGTGACGACGGTCAATAGAGCTCCAAATGCCGGCCGGCCAGACGGCTGGGCAACTCACTCTTCGGGGGCCCCAGCCGGCTCGGGAGCAGATCGGCTGGACGACGGTTGGCCGTTCTGCTGACCGGCCGACTCGAAAGCCGGCCTGACGATTCGCTCGGGCACCGGCAGGCCGGTCGGCTGAGCCAGCTGTGAGCCAGCCTCCAAACCAGTTCGGGGGTTGGCTTGCTGGCCGGCATGCCGAGCGACTGACTGGGAAATTGGATGGACGACCTGCTGGCCGGCTTGTGGGCCGGCACTGCCGCTGGCCTGTTGGGAGGCAAGCCGTCTCCCCTGCTGGTCGACCGCTTGGGCAGCCGCCTGACTGCCCACCTCCTGTGGCGGTATAGGATGGCCGTAATTATGAGTGTGGATGCACACCTGTACGGGATGTTTAATCATGGTGGGCGCCGCGCCATGCTGCATTTTGATGTAGATGAGTTCGGGGACCATAGCAACATCGCTTTATTTGCCGACTGGAAGGTGCTGGAATTCAAGGGGTTTGTGCCTTGAATTCCTTTTTCCTTGAGTAGACATTTTGTTGTAGTTATACTTAAACTATTTACTTTATACTTTAGTTCTTGCCGCCCAACTCAACTACGTCATATTGCTGCGGGAGCAGCTAAACAAGTGGGTAGCGCGCCCATGGCCAAGTGGTTACTGTGCGAATCTCAGCAAAGAGCTGAGATTTGATGCCTGGCTGCGGATACACCTTTTCCATGTTTCTGTAAATGTGGCACTCTGGTAAATTCGAGAACCGTGTTGCTTATTTGAGGTTAGAATGTTCTGCGCGCCAAACCTTCCACGCCGATTGTTCCAGAAGCCCACGTGTGTACCAAGGGACTCTGCGTGGCGAGCCAGAGTGAGTCTCGCCTCAGCGCTAGGTTCTGCTGTTCCATCAACATCGACGCCTGCGACGCTAACCTTCTTCCATTTTGCTTTGGGCACAAGTTCACCCAATTAAACGTTTAGTTTGCTTGAGTTTTTGTCGTCTCAGAAATTGTCATTTGTGACAATATTTCAAGATGGTAACCATCACCGGACAACGGTCTATAACATTCCAACAATTTTCAAACCTTTAAACTTTAATATGCTGACAAATTTACCAGCGTTTTAACTTATTACATGAAAAAATTTGACAATTCTTAAACTTATCAAATTGAGAAATTCGGCAGTCTTCAAACTTATTACACTGAAAAATTCAACAATTTTTTAACTTATCAGACTGAGAAATTTGATAAATTTTAAAAACTTATTACACCTAGAAATTATCTAATTCTCGAAGTTAGAAAGTATTAAAGCTCAACAAACTTCAAACCATAAAAAAACTGCTCGAAGAGGAATCAAATTTCTCCAAAACATGCTTCGATCAGAGTATACTTCAGCTGTTTTGAACACTTAGCAACTGTTGCAAATTACTGGCGACCACACTAACACCGCGGTAATAAGGGCGCACTAATAGCAAATGTCGAATGTAACTAGAGCGCGATCACCGTCATAAAAAACCTACACTCCAAGCTCTATGAGGGCAGTGAAGCCGCGAAATCATTGTGATTTGGTGGCAGCGATGGCTACCCCAACTTCGTGCTACATCGCCAACTTTTAGGAAACAAAATTTCAAATTTGCTGGTTTTTGTTTTTATAAATGAACATCAAACAAATCAAAGCAAAAGGAAGTCGCTTATTATCATTGTGGATCTCGAACTCTGAAGCTTCAAGATGGTGCAATCCTTAAAACTGTTACAACAAAGTTAACCCCTTGCCTAACAATGAGTGTCACTTGTGAAGCCCTTTACGGACCATAAAGCCCAATCACGAGAGTGATTCGTGCTTCGGTTTCGGCGCTTCTTTAGCGTGCTCTCCGGCAGATGGCAGAAGCACCCCAGTTGCAGCTTGCTCCACTTACCCTAGGTTGTTTGCTCATTTGTTTTGCTGTTTGATAAAAAAAACAAAAAACTATTTACTTAAAAAAAAAAAAGCAGTATTGCACGCTTGTAAGTGTTTGCGCCAAAAAAACAAGATGGCTTCGGCGTGGATGTCTGCTTTAGCCAACAAAAAAATAAAAAAACAACTTTTTTTTTAAAGGAATGTTTAGACATATTTGAGATCCCACCAACTGAGAAGATGAACCCGATGCGGGCATGCGAGGTATGCACAGCCAACAGGAAACGGAGCGAAATGACATGAAAAAGTGGATAGTGCAAAGTGGCTCTCCACCTTCCTGAATGCTTTCAGCACTATCACACTGTGAAGAACTACTGAAGAGGACCAGAAGACCAGAAATCCTAATTTAGAGCAAGATACCACACCTCAAAGTCGAGGAAGTGTTTCTGTCTTACTTTGATGCAAACTGCCCACTGTTAAAATAAAGTTCTGCTGTATGTTCCGTGAAGAAACAAAATGAGTAGGCAAGGGGATAACATTGCATATTCATCATATAGCAGTTTCGCTGCATGCCTCTAATTCAAACAAGTTAACCACCTAAAAAAAAATTTAACAGCTTCTTGTAAATTTTCAGTAGTCACAGCTGTGACGGCCAAGTCGTTGGGCATCAGCGTCGATTTCATGCGCCATGGGGTGCGTGAACAAAATCGTTTGGAACAAAATACACATCTGAACATTTTGTTCCTAACGCCTTTGTTTCTTTTTTGTTCTGGAGCGCATGAAAGCACATCTCCCGTCACGAGCTCTTGACATTGGAAGTGCTACAACGGCATTTTGTTATTGGCTATATTATTTTCCAGAGAGCATATGCAGTGGGCTTCGGGTACTACAAAAACCCCCAAGTATAAAGCGGGTTGTTAACACTGTGGCGTAGCTCAAATTGTAATGCCTCCGCCTCGCATGCAGCGGACCCAGGTTCGATTCCCGTAGGCGGCAAAGGATTTTTTTCTAAAGATTTGGCACCATCGACGACAGACGCCCTACAATGCCAACAACTATTACAACTGCGACATCAACAATGGACATCCTTTCCAGTGGTGGAAGAGCCAATAACAGCTATCGCTGTAAAAAAGGAGACATGAAGAGTAAAAAAAGGTTGCCAAGAACTCGTACCACTTGGGTTGGCAGGGTGTCTGCGGGCAGCGCATGGCCCTCCTCGACCAGGATGTCCGAGATGTGCACATCCGGATCATTGGTGGTGTCGCACAGATTTATGGAGTAGGCGACTCCCTGACGCTGCCAACAGAAAAGAGCACAAAAAACGTTAAACAAAAAGGTAAAGAAAAAAAAAAAAAAAAAGAGGCAATTGACAGTGTTTGACGACAGTTTTGGGACGTAACGGCATGGGAAGGAAAAATGCGACAGACAGGAAAATAATACATGCATTCCTATGGACGTTCAAAGGGACCAGTTTTCGTAACATAACCGCTGGGAACATGCATATCCGTGAGTGTTCTACTGTATGTAGCAATTCTGTCGAGTGTGTCGACAACAACGGTAGTGCAATCACACTTTGAACGCCTTTTCTTTGTTTACCTTTTTCTTTTGCTGTAATTGCTTTGCCTTTTTTTTTTCTTTTCCTTTCTTTTTTTTTTTTTTGTTTCCTGAATTTAGTGAGCTTTCCTTTCTGTTGCTTGCTTAGATATTTTTTATAGATCAATAGATTTTTCTTATGCGTCTCGCTTCTCCATTTTTTTTAAATTTTTTCTTTCCTTATTTTTAGTTTTGTTGTTTATGCTGTGTGGAGGTCCCAGCCAAGAGAGAGTGCAAGTGCGGCAATGTTCGCGGTCTCCGCCAACTGCGCTCTACTCTATTTAGCGGCTTTTGGATGTTCTATTTGGTAAGCTCCTGTTTGTCGCGACCTCCGGTACAGTACAGCCCGCTTATAACAAACCCGGAAATAACGGAATAGCGGATATAACGAAGGAATTTTGATTTCCCGTTCCCATTTCTATGCCTGCAATGTGATTCGAGTCCACTTTCAGCGAAAAATCTCGGAAGGCCTGTGCTGAGCCGAAATTCTTTAGATTTAATGTAGAACGTACCACAAAATTTAAGCTGAGCTAAAATAAACAAAATATAAAAAGTAGCTGCCGACCAACAGCACGCAGACCGTGCGTCTTTACAGTGCATACCTCGGAAAAGTTTGCGCTGCTCGCCTCACCCCGCGCAGAAACAGGGTGCTTCTCCACAAGACACATGACGTACGCAGCGTGAAAAAACCTGGAAAAACCCGTTTGCTTATCGCTTTGCTGTGCCGCGCGCCACCGTGCTCCCTTTTCCCGCGTGGTTTTGGTTCACTCTCCTCCTGATTTCCGTTTGGATAGTGTTCCTCTGCTGCTTCTCCATTGGCCTGCCATCTTGTGTCCCCAGACTGCCTTCCTGATTAGCCTTTGACTACGGACCCTACATCAACCGCTTCTCCCTCGGCAAAGACTGACTATGAACTCGGCTGAGTGCAATGAATCGCAACTGACCGGACCGCCCACGGATTTTCTTGATCATGTCAAGCACCGGCATTTCCACCCCGAAAAGAAAGGTTCTGTCCCTAAAGGTGAAACGGGCGATTCTTGAGGAAGTTCGGCGCAATGTCAAAAAGTCAGAGATCGCCCACAAATACAAGATAGTGCCGTCAACAATGATCAAAAATGGGGACAAGGTCGACGCAGCCCTAAACGACGATGCTGGCAGCGTAAACCGGGATAAGTTCCGCAAGCCTTTGTACAATGATGTGGAAGAGGCACTGTGCAAACGGTTTGTTGACGCCCGCACAAAGGCAGTTCCAATAAGTGGTCAGATCCTTCTAGAAAAGGCTCGGAACTTGGGGTTTGTGTTGAAGCACGATAACTTAAAGCCTGGAAGCAGCTGGCTTCAACATTTCAAGGATCATCACATCATCACTTGCAAACATAGCGTCGGCGAGGCCAAGTCTGTTGACGACGTGTCGCTCCAGGCTTAGCTCGACAAGTACCTTGATCGGATCTTTGCCACTTACGCTGATTGCGACATCTACAATGCGGATGAAACTGGTCCTTTTTATCAACTTCTGCCTGCCAAGACACTGGCACCCAAGGATGACAAGTGTGTCGGAGCCAAGACGAGTAAGGAGCGCGTCACACTCCTAGTTTGCGCCAACATGGGCGGCACAAACAAGCGAGAGCTGCTGCTGATTGGGAAGTCCAAGAAACCACGGAGCTTTGCGACCATGTCCGTGCGTGGATGACAGGGGACCGCTTCCGCAAGTGGCTCACTGGTTTTGACGCAGACATGGCTTCGCAAAATCGGAAGGTGCTGCTGCTACTGGATAACTGCAGTGCCCACCCCATCAACCCACTGCTCAGCGCCGTGGAGGTGCTCTTTCTACCTCCAAACACCGTGGCCAAACTTCAGTCAATGGACCAGGGAGTCATAGCGAACCTCAAGGTGCACTACCGTCGACGAGTAATCGAGCGTGTGTGCTTATTGACATTCGCACTGCGGTGCCACCCAAGGAACACAAGGTTACATTGGACAGTGCACTATTTATGGCCAGCTGAGCGTGGAGAGACGTGAAGCCCGAAACCATCGCCCACTGCTTCAAGAGTGGCACCTTTTCCCGGACGAGGGTTTTGGAGGCTCCTGCTGCAGGCGACGAAGTGGTTGCCGACGCCGGAGTACCTGCTGTCAACGAGATTTGCGCACCGCTGGAGAAGATGTGGGAGAGCCTGGCACAGGTCCAGCTCGTCCCGTCCAGCGTTGACCTTGTCGAGTTCGTTACGACAGAGGACAACATCGTCGCCACAGAGAAGATGACGGACGAAGACCTTGTGAACTGTGGCCAGGTTGAGGATGTGCGAGCCCAACGAGAGCGACAGCGACGACTGCCGTGTGAAACCGTCGGTGTCCACCGGAACGGCAATCGCGGTGGTTGATGTGCTCCGGTCATACTTTGTTGGTGCCGGGCTTGGACAGAACATTTTTGCGCAATCGGACACATTAGAAGTAGCAATTGTGAGCACGTCTGTGAATCACGATGTGCAGTCGTGCATCGACAGCTTCTTCGGTAAACAGTAAACCCTTGCTTTAAAAGATTATTTTGTTGTTTTGTTTTGTATCCAGATATAGCGAAAAACGGGTCTAACGAACTGATTTCCGGTTCCCGATCTGTTCGTTATAAGCACGCTATACTGTATTAGCAGGGCCGTTAAGAAATTTCAACTCTAGCTTAATTTAACATATATTCGTATATAAAATTATTGATATATCGAACTATTTTACGATCCTGTTTGAATTCGATATATCCGGGTTCGACTGCACCACTCTGAAACACGGAACATGTAACTACTGGCGCAAGTGGCCGCTGTTCATTTCGAAATCGACTACAATATACAAAGTAAAAGTATACAAAAATTTGATTACACCAAGTGCCCATCCTCCGTTGTGCTCTATAGTAGAGTTTCCTCATAGCAAAACATTGATATTATAAAGTCAATATGGATAGAGTACCTGCTGACATATGCTTGTTAATACTAGAACAAAAATTAAAAATGCTAATAAAAAAAAAAACTTTCCGCCTTTCCACTCTCGTGAAGAAGGAAAACCAGCAAAGCTGGACCATGGTGGAAATTAAGTATTTATAAATGTAAGGATTAAGGTGTGATTGGGTAATAGGTTATGTGAGAACCATATTGTCCCCGGTTTCCTTTGTTATACCACGTCAACCACCGAAGGCTCACGAATGGGAGTCGAGGCGCCACTAGTCGTTCAGCCACCACGTTCAACCTCGGTAGGTGCTCCGGTACGGGTGGGTACTTGTAGCCGTTCACGTTCGCGAACCGGGGCACCGCGCCTTAGAGCAGGGAATCTCGGCACGTTCTGCACGCCGGTTCTTTGTAGACGTCCGCCGACTCAATACACTGCCGCAACCGTTTCCCGATTCTTCTCGTCCAACACGTCGCCGATTGTAAATAACTTTGTGGCGAACCAGAGTCGGTCGCACACGGCGCACGTGACGCCAAGCGGGTTCTCCACGAACTCCCTCCGGAACCTCGCCGTCGCACCCGGGAACTGTTCAGCCGGCGTAGAGTGCTGTCGTCACAGGGCCTCGCGCTTCTGCTTGGCCTCCATAGCCTGCCGGCGCCGTTTACATCGCTGGTTCTGTTCTCGGCGGCAGCTTTCCAGGCGAGCGATGTGCTCTTCTTTCGCAAGGGAGTCTGAAGCGATGGACGCAGTGGAAGTCGAGGCGACAGCGGCTTCACATCGATTGCGGACCCATTCGCGCTGCTGCGTACGTCGCCGCTCTTTCCACACCCAGTCTTCTTTTCCCAAAAGGGCACGTGCACAGCCCATCCTGAGTCTAAACCGAAACTGATAAGAGTGTAGGAAACAGCGTGCAAAACAGACGAGAACGAAGAAACACGTGACGAGCGCAGCACTCGTCACGTGTGTTTCTTCTTCATCCTCTTCCATTTCTCGCACTGTTTGCTACAATGAAACCCCACCAACGCGCCCAGCTATCCATTCTTCTATGATAGCTCGAAAGGTTGCCGCCATCTACGAGCGACGGCGGCAACCAGACTGGTTGTGTGCTTGCCTTCGTCGCTTATAGATGGCGGTAGCTGTCTAGAGGTTTGGGGGGGTTTGTTTCGACAAGATTTTGGTACCGGACACGATCCTGAGGAACCTAGCCCTTAACAGCTCCGCTGTAAAAAAAAAAAAAAAAAGAGAAATTTTAAGTACTGAAGTTTTACTGCAATTACCTTATAGCCTGAAAGAGTACTTGTTTAATATTCTGAAATAAACTCATTTATTGTACTTAGCCACAAAGTGCCAACTCATTTCAAGTGCAGTGATGGAAGTGCAATTTGACCTTTTGGAGCAGGCCTTGTAGCAGGCAAAATGTTGTTTTGGAGCAGTTAGTGGCCCTTTTGGAGCAGGGTCCGGCATATGTTCGCACATTACTTGAAAATGAAATAATGCTGCATTGCTATAGAAAGCCCATCTCTATTATTGGAACACAGCGCCTGTCGCCTTTTTAAGACTATAAAATTCAACAAAGTAAATGGAAAAAAAAAAATTTTTATATAAAGTTTATCTGCTCGTCAGATAAAAAAAAATACAATTAAATATGTCACACTGAGTTCTGATGGTACAGGATATTAAGTTTTATCAGCATGCACTTCTTTTAAGGCATCTGCAGCAGCATCTAACGACCCTCACTGTTGTGGAATGTTTTAGTTCAGATTAGAGTTGTCTTTCGGGCAGCAGTTTCAAAGATTGCGGTATCTGATATTCGCTTCAAAAATTCCAATTCATTTTCGATGTGCTGGCGAAGTCACGATCGGATCACGGCGAGTTAACCCGTTGAGTGCGCTCCTTGGCATGCACCGACGCGCTGCAGAGAAGCGACACCCGTAAAGCAGACAACGCAGGCGCGCGAGTCGCGCAATGCTTTGTGCTCCGAAAAGGACGGTGAGGCTTTACCAGCACTACATCCAGAGTTTGGTGCAACTCATCTACACTTTGTTTCAGCTTCGGTGCGAGCGCAGCCGAAGCTACAAGCGCGCGCATGGAGCCCGTAACGGTGCCGACACTGCACGAGCCCACGCGCGAGTCAGGAATGCACAGAGCATTGGGCTCGCGCTAGCTTTGACTTCGCTGGTAGCTAGCGCACGGGAACAGGGCGGGCCAACAATAAAAACATCCACAAACTCGACCATTTCTTTTTTTTTTTTAAATAGGCTGTTTAGTGGGATGGTTCTCCGCTTAGTCTCTGCGGCTTTGGTCTTAGATGTTGCTAACGTTGCTCCTTTCAATGATGATGATGATGATAATGCGCCCTCGCAGTTTCGGTTTGCGTAACAGTTGCGGCGCGGAGAATACCGCGGTACCGCCACGTGCTCTGATAAGACTTCAATTTCTATTTTTTATTGCTACATCTCATCTCGGCGCAGGCATGGCGCAATTCTTCGGTAAAATGACGATTTGGCGCTACATGTAGCAGGATTGCGTCCTTGGCGCAATTTGGCGCAGTTGGCGCAGCACTTCCATCACTGCAAGTGTAAATGTGCTGTCTTCACAGCCTAATCCCTGTTCCTTACTTTTTAAAATCGGTGCGAAACACAAAAAAGGTGCACAAAGTTGTTCACAACCTTTTGCCACAAACCTACACACAGCAGGTTCATTTCAAAATCTGCCAAGTGCTGGCCTCATCAGGCAAAACTAAGTTTCAGTGTCCTGGTACTTCGTAGGTGTAAGGGATTCTAGACTTATCAAAAACTGGAAGGAAGAAAGGAGAAGTGTGGAGCACATACCTCGAGGACTTTGCACATCAGTGTGCGATCGCCACTGACTAGCTCCATGAAGCGACTCTTGGACTGTGCTGTCCATCCAGACTAGAGAAAAAGAGATAAACCACACACCCTTCAGATCGTGAGCAAAGCATCACAATTTACGCTGCCCGATAATGGACAAGCCACACAATGCAAAAAAGGGCCGCCACCAGAAACTGCTCTGTAAGATTACATTGTACTGTGGAGTGCTAATGGTGCTAAGCTTCGGCCTTATAGGAGAAGCCAGCAGTTCCCAAGATGGGCTGCAGTGAACCCAGGCATTCTCCTGAATATTGTCAGCAGTTCCTCAAGCCTCCAGGCTTCTATCAGCCTACACTCCAAGCACATCTCTTGAACGCTATGCGCAGTTGCACTAAAGAGCCCTGGATTGACCCATTGGCAAACAATTCCGCCATCCGAATGGGACTAGTGTTAGATTTCAAACTAACGAAACAGATAATCGTTTTGCAATTTTTTGCTTAAATTGCAATGACAGTAATGTCAGGTAGAGGGCAAGAGAGTGATTTTACCCAATGTCAAAGGGACACCAAAGTGATTATTTTCATTACCTTGTGCTGTACAGTAGACTCTCAGTAATCCAGTCACATTTTAAAATTTCCAGTTTTTTCGGAAAGCTGAACCTTTAGACTCGGTTAATTTGAAGACTTTCTTTGTGTGCTTCAGGGGTTCGGAAATTCTGGGAGCACAAAAAAGCCTCGCGACCTCACTGCCCATGCCAAGCGCGTGACCAAGTGCACCTTACTGCTGGAGGTGCGTGGCGTATGTATCGTTATTCAATGCATCTTTCCTAGAGAAGAGGGCGAACAGCACGGTGGCATGGCAAAGCCAAACAAGGCCACGCGCACGCATGCTGCTGTTCATTGCGCTACTTCTGGGAAAGAGGCACGCACGGCCAAGCCGTAGTTGTAAGACTGATGGGTCCTCATATCCCCTGGTAAAGTGGAATGAAATGGTGCAGTTGGCTCACTGGGGAGAAGGGCTTCAGGTGGCCCATCGTAGCACGTATGGCCTGAGCTGGTAAGACGAGAAACTCATCCCTGCAACAAGAAACGAAAGCGGGTCAATTGATTGAGATGCTAGCTGTGCAACCGTAGAACTGCTTACAGAGTTGACCAAATGAATCAAACCAACTTTAAATAAATAGAGAGAAAACATGTTTTTCACATAAAAAATGAGAGCTGTTTACAACTCCCCGTAACGCCCAATTGGAGTGCAGCTCTTGAGGAGGAGGATAGAAGGGTACTGAGGGGAGGGTATACCCCTCCTCCCTCCTCCTCACCTCGTCATCCTGCGTGCTACTCCGCCACGGGGGCCACGTGACCTCAGGGGGGGTCACGTGACCTCAAGGTGGGGCGGTACCTGACCTCAGGGGGGGGGGGGGGGGGGGGGGGTGTTCATTGTTAGAAAACCTTCTGATCAGTGTTTCTGATGCCCACAATTTGCTCTTAAACACAAACTGCAAGAAGAGTTCAGGTCCTGATGGTATTCCTAATTAATTTCTTCATTGTTATTCTCTCTGAACATTAAAGGGACACTGACACCCCCCCAAAAAATTTTTTTTAATTTTTTGCCAGGCGCTTTATTATGGTGTCGGAGGACTGCCCAATTAATATTTTGCAACAGAGTAGCGTATTTTTTTTAATAAAGCCAAAAGACGCAACTGCTCGAAACCGAAACCGAAACCCGACGGAGGTCGGAGAAGTGGAGAGAAGAGAGTGAGTGGCGGAAGTCACGTGGCTACACCCGACCGTGCGTTTTTTTTTTCTTTTTTCTCCTCTCCGTAGCAGACGACACGACATGCGGCGTGCGATTCTTTTGCAGTTATGTTTGTTCCGCTCGTTGTTCTGTACTCAAGATGAGTTGTTTTGTACATTGAAGAGTTGGAGATGAGTAGTGAGTGCCCGTGGTGAATTTCCATGATCGGCTCCGAAAAGAATACACCCAACATGTTGCGTGAAGAGCTGGCTCACATGTCCTGCATCCGAAAAAAAGTGGCATTGTGCGACAGAGTTTCCGAAAGATCAACGGGATCGGGACCAATGGCTGGCCGCAATTCCTGTAGAACATTTACGGGCACCTCGGAAAGCGGACGCTACCTGATTTATATGCTCCTTGCATTTTGTGGAAAGCGATTACATTGAGTTCGCAGGTGTCAAAACGGAAATCCCATACCATTTAATTCAGCGAAGTATCGTCCACAACATTTGTTTGTTATTTTTTTGTTTTTCTTCAGTGATGATTGTAAAAAAAAGAAAAAAAATGTAAATATCGGAAAATGTTTTTAAAAAAAATTTCACGGGGAGCGAACCCGGTCCTACCGCGTGTGAGACGGACGTCTTTCCCACTGAGCTATACTGGCACCTCTTTTCTGGTGGATCTCTTTCCTTAGTAATAATTCAGCCGGTAAACTGTAAGTTGGAAAGTTTGCTGTCGATTTTTTTCTAGCAAAAGCACTCCCGGGTCGAAGTCGGGAAGCACCACGCTTTGGGGACATTCGCACCTAGTAAAGAAATCGTACGCGTGCATATTCAACTCGAAGTAGACACGTCGTGCTTGACGTTTGCGCGAGCGTTGTCTTCAGCCACGAGAAGGGAGCGACGGCTCGGCGACGTCTTCGTGCAAATCGGCTTGGTGGCCGGGCGTGTCGTGCGGGATGAATACCAATTCTTTTGATCAGTCCCAAATTTCTCTTTTAACGGTAAACAGAATTCGCCGGTACCGCGAACGACAGTTCTGAAATAGAGGCCCCACGCCCTTCGTTCGCTGCCATTGCCGTCCCCGCGAGTCCCACGATACGCGAAACGACGAACGCACAGAATGCTTCCGGTTGTCTGTGGAACTTTTTTTTTTCAATCAACGTATTTACAGCTTTTTAGAAGCCACAAAAAATGGGTTTCATATTTTTTTTCTATTTTTAATATTGAGTGTGTGCCTTCAGTGATCCACGACCTTGATTAAATTTGGTGGTCGCATCGATACCTTAGAAAACGGCCCGTGACCGCGGAAAAGAGAGTGAGCGAGACTCGAACCGGCCAGTTCTTGATTGGCGGTTTTCGGGCGGAAAGAAACCGAATTTTGAGCCGCAAATTCTGTTCTGGGTAGTTGAGCTCTCATATGTCACGTAAAACTAAAAACCTCGGCGAGCATAAATACCCTGTCAGTGTCCCTTTAAGATACCTAGCCTTATTCTTTGAGAAGTGTTTCTCTTCTGGGATCATACCTGAACTTTGGAAATGAGCCAGAATTGTCCCTATTGTTAAATCTGGTAACAAACAGAGCCTTATCAGTTAGACAAATTTCATTGACTTCTTCCCCTAGTCAGCTCCTCAAACACATAGTCTACAGTCATATTTCTGAATATCTTGAAAGTAACTCAATCATCTGCCCTCAACAGAACGGTTTCCGTCGTCATTTTTCAACCACCACGCAACTCCTCAAGTTCACCCATGATATTGCTTTGTCTTTGAATAAAAGCGGACGGGTTGATGCAATATTCATAGATTACTTGAAGGCATTTAATAAAGTTTCACATTGCAAACAACTTGTGAAGTTGAAAGTTATATATAAAAATTTCATTTTACTTGACTAAATCACTAAAACAGTTCACAGTTTGTTTCGTTCGGTAATGCTATTTCTTAATTAAGAAGTTACGGACAGATCAGGTATACTGCAGGGATCGGTGTTAAGATTTGTTTTATTTCTTCTATATATTAATATTGAAATAAGCACTTTGGTTAAAATTCGTCTGTATGCCCATGACTCCGTCCTGTATATTGTTGAGACTGGTTATAATGAAGTCAAAGGGAATCGAAAATCACTTTGCTATATCCGCTATTTTGTTATAACAAACTTCGGTTAACGAAATGTAAAAGGGAATGGGAAATCATAATCGCTCCGCTGTAGCCACTATTTCGTTATAACCGTCTTCGTTATAACCGGTCTCAACAGTAATGATGTTAATTTGGTTAAGGAGCAACTGTTAGTTAGTAAATCCTTTGTGCACTTCTTTAATTAAAGCTAACAATGGCAAATGGAAATTAACTTTGAAAAGACTGTGTTCATGAAGTTTACGAATAAGAAATTGCTTTTGGGTTTTAACTACGGCATTGATGAGTTAGTCTTAAGGGAGGTTTATGAGTACAAATATTTGTGTATTATTTTTTCATCGAACCTTAAATGGGACTGGCACATTGACTTTATTTCCTCTTGCGCCCTCAGGAAATTAAGATATGTTAAACATTTGATAAAATTTCTTTAAAGGAGGTCAAATTAACTGCTTTTACAAGAATTGTTAGGCCAATTTTGGAGTACAGTTCTGTACTTTGGGACATTTATCCAAAAAAGGACATTACCGTAAACTTCCGAGAGAACGCCCATGCCGTTTTTCTGGCTAAATATCTGTAACATAAAAATTCCGAAACATTGCCCACTTCCCGATTCCTGTAGACGTCGCACAATGTCAGACGGAAATTGCATCAACTGTGCAATTTGCTGTATCGGCACGTCTGACAAGCGAGTTCATATCGGGTCCCCGTGCGTTTGTCCCGATCTGCACACGCAATAATGGCTCCCGTAACACGCGAGTTTTTCCCGCGTGTAATGCGAATCTGTTGCGTCCGCAATCTGCGGTATTTGTTCCCGTAACATACGAGTTTGTAGTGGATACCCATGTTTTTGTCCGCGATCTCCGCATGCGATATTGGTTCCCGTGACAGGCGAGTTTGTAGCGGGTTCCCGCGTGTTTGTTGCATAATAAAACTTGAATCTGCTGCGTCCGCGATTTGCGGTATTCGTTCCTATGAGATGCGAGTTCTTAGCGGGTTTCTGCGGGCCCTACGCACCGTGAAATCTACTGTGTCTGCAACCTGCAGTATCCTTTCCCTTGACACAGGAGTTCGTAGTAAATTCCCACATGTTTATCGCACCGTGAAATGCAAATTTGCGCTGTCCGCAATCTGCGGTATCACCTCCCGTGTCACGTGGTTTGAGGCTGGTGCCAGGGTGTTTATCGTTAATTTTTGATAAAGTTTTGCTCTGGCATCCCCAAAGATAGCCCACCCCATGTTTTTCATCATTTATCTCATTTTGGGTAGGTGCACTTTTGGAACTTTACGGTAATCTTATCTACTCTATTCAGGCCAAGGCAATCCAATTTATTTGTAATAGATATGAGGACACTTTTCAGCTTCATCCACTATGACAACCTCTTTTAGGCAAACTGTCGAGCAGTTGAAAATGCTACACAGAATTGTTAATGAAGATAGTGGCACTGAGTGCATGAAATACATTTCTTTTTCAGACATCATGTGCATTAGGCGATCCCATCTTTTAAACATTGTACCCTTTCAGTCTCATATTGCTTTAGAAATTCCTTCTTTCCGAGCACGGTTGAAGTGTGGAACAGTATTAATGTATCTACGTGTATGCTGCAGTACGATGACATCATATTAGAAATCGTGAAACTTGATTTTGTTTGATGTGTGACTGGTGAATCATTATTTTGTATATGTTCTCGTTTACTGTTCACACTACTCATCTGTTTTTCACCTGTGTATTCCACTCCTGCAAAGACCTCAATTGAGGGGTTGCAAAATGTTCAAATAAATAAAAAAAAAGATTGTGCCGAATTGGGCATTATTTTCTACATTGCCCAGTCGTATGCTCCCATGGCTCAGAGCAACATTGTTTCAGTTTTACATCGAAACTGATCAACTCCTAATCAATACACAGAAATTTGGATTTCATACACCACTTCTGCTTGAGGCAAGTATTTAGCTTCAATATCTAAAATGGAAAAATGTATCACAGCAGTTTCTAGCATGCAAAAATTATTTTTGCAGTGCAGTTGAGGTGGGCTGGATACATCTGCCCACACAATATATTATGTATATCGCATTCTCACATTAAGCTGTTCACTCAAGGCCTTAGTATAGCTTTGAGTGAACAGAGAGGTCAATGACCTTAACACAGTCCCTTTTCTTCCCTTATCCAAGGGGTAAAAAGGAAGATTGCATTGAGGCACAACATGTCGTGTTGA